TTCTTCAAAAAGTAAGATTTAGTAAGCAGCTCCTGAAGAGTCACCCAAAACTTTCTGTTCAAAGCTCATTTAGAATCACCAATGTGGCAAGGGTTTCCCTAGGATTGTGTTGCCAGCATCTCTGAAACTAAAGGACATGCAGGTAGTCCCATACCGGAAAAAACCTCCACAGTGCAAAAGTTGACACAGTATGTAACTATAGTCTCAACATTTTTTCAAGCCACACATTCTTCCTACACTGTAAAATATCTAATTTAGTTCAGTCATGTGTGTTACAATCTCCATTTATTCCTAAGGAAGAGATGCTACTTCTGGGATGAATAATGAAGGCCTTTCCATGCACAAACACAAGAACCCGGCCAAAAGGCTTTTGAAGCAGCTTCTATGTAGCTTCTAGAAGGGCATACATGGAAGATCTCAGAGGAGCAGGATAACTGGAGTAAAAGTACAATTATCCCTTAAAACTGTAAAAAAAACAACAACAAAAACGCATAACCCTGACTTGAAAAGGCCAAACACTGAAACTTAGAAACCAGTTAAGGAGATCTTTAGATGATGAAGCAACTGAGAAGCCAGTGAAAATAGAGAGTCACACATGAGATGAAGGAACCATCTGTGTAAAAACTATTACTTGGATACGCCACAAAGCTGAACAATATGAAAGATAAGTGAATTGATAGCCATCACTGAAAAAAAAATCTCCGCCAAATTTTTCAAGCCCTGTATATATATATATATATATATATAGTTGTAATCAAAATTAGTCAACCCCTATTGTAAACCAGGTGTATTGTTTGCAATGAACAAAACCAACAGAAACAATTGAAATAGGCCAACACAATGAATGTTTCAAGTGGTTTTCCCACATGTAACTGAAAATGCAACTTTTAATGACTTGCAGTCTCAAAATTATTCAACTCCCTGAATACTGTAGAATCTTTCACAAGAGCACAAATTGGAGATTTATGAAAAGACAGGTTGAGAAAAACCCTGGAGTGACTGCAAAAGACCTAAATGCAGAAGATTTCCATGCTAGAACTCCAAGACGTACACCACTACCGACCCGAAGGCACAAAAAAGCCAACTCCAATATGCTCAAAATCATATAAATAAGCAACAGGCATTTTGGGATTCTGTTCTGTGGCATGATGAAACAAAATTGGAAAGTTTGGGCACCATGGATGAGCAATAAGTCTGGAGGAAGAAGAATTATGTATTTGCTGAAAAGAACACTCTGTCTACAGCTAAGCATGGTGGTGGCTCAGTGATGTTCTGGGGCTGCTTTGCATCTTCTGGCACTGGAAACATGCAGCATGTGGAAGGCAAGATGGATTAATTGAAGTATTAGGAATTCCTAGGAGAAAACGTCATGCAGTCTGTGAGGAAGCTGAAGCATGGGCGTCATTGTCCTTCCAACATTCCACCAAGGCTTGGTTGCAGAAGAAGTCCTTGAATATTCTATTGTGGCTTTAACAGCCACTTGACTTGAACCCTATAGAAAATCTCTGGTGAGATTTGAAGAAGGCAGTTGCAGCATGCAAACATAAGAATATCAGTGAACTGGAGGCCATTGCTCATAAGAAATTCACTAAGATTCCTCAGGAACACAAAAACTGGTGTGTGGCTATGCATCTCATTTGCAGCAGGTCATAACAGCAAAAAGCTGCTCTAATAAGTACTAAAAATGCTTGCCATTAAAGGGGTTGAATAATTTTGAGATACAGAAATCTTTAAAAGTTGCATTTTCTGTTGAATTTGGGGAAACCACTTGAAACATTCATTGTGTTGACCTATTTCAAATGCCTTTGTTTGATTTGTTCATTGCAAACAACTGAAAGTTTGTAAATTTTGCTAATCAACCTGATTTGCAGTGAGGTTGAATAATTTTTATTACAACTGTATATTGTGGTAGTTCATGGCAATGCCACAAAGTAATTTGTTAATATAGTCACTCAGGGCTCTCAGCCAGAGGGGCTGAGTAGTTCCAGAAAGTAGGTGCTTTGACTAGGAAAGAGCTGGCTTTGCAGACCTGGATTTGGCATGGTATCCTGGAGCCAGGAGATTTCAAAGAGAATTGGGAGGAGTTGGTGTGGTGTGTGTGCTGGAGGCACACGAGGGCCAAGCCAGGTGTGATGTGTGCTAGAGGCACATGAGGGCCACGCTAAGTGGTGTGTGGTGGAGCCACACAAGGAACAGCTAGGGAGGCTGGGAGAGCCAGGCACACAAACGGTGTGTATGGAATCACATGAGAGCTGTGTGGAAAGCTGCTGTAAGCTGCTAAATGGTACGGAGTACTTCTGAAGAGTTTTGTTAAAAAAAATCCTGGGACATATGGAACATATGCGACAATCTTGAGTTGGTGAGACATTGTAACATGTTCGGTTTGCTGACAGACAAGCCGGCTATTGTGTTGTTGTCCTAAAGAAAACAGTTTTTCTGTTATGGAAGAAATAAAAGACTGTCCTTTTTATGTTTAAACAGCTTCAAGACTGGTCATAAGGTGCTCACCATTGTGTTCATATATATATACTGTATATATATACACCTGTAATATATATATACATATATATATATAAATCTTGACATGATTACCGCTTCCTTGTCTCAATGTTAAACATTTAGGCTGGGTTCACACCTGAGCGTATTTTTTCAGCTCGTTTTTTTCGCGTTGTTTAGCACGTTTTTACGTTCAGTGAAACGCACTTTCACTGGCGGTATGATTTTTTTGGTGTTTTTTTCCTTATTTTCTCTATTGTTTAATTTGTATACATTTTTTTTCACTTTCAAACTTCCCGTCGGCTCCACCCCCTGCGACGCGGCCGCTCGCAAGGGACGGAACCCGGAAGTCGGCAGCCGCCGGAGGACACAGCGGGGATCGCGGACAAGGTAAGACCTGTACGCTGTATTCCTGAGTGTGGCTCGGGGTTACCGCTTTGTTAACCCCCGATCCACACTCGGGAATACCAATGGAAATGCGCGGAAAAACGCCCCAAGAAGCTCCTGTACTTCTTTGGGTGTAGGGCTTTTCCAGTGTTGTAAAACGCCCAGGTGGGAACCATGCCCATAGGCAATCATTGGTTTTCACATGTTGAGCGTTTTACAGCGCGTAGGAACGTGCTGTAAAACGCCCAGGTGTGAACCAGGCCTTAGAGCTATGCATATTTAAGCTATGCTTGTAGGACTAACTTTTCAATGTGTAAGGCTAGCCATAGATATGACACAATCTTTCTATAAACTGAATTGGAGATTTCAGCTGTAAAAGTCAGTGCAAATGTTTATGCACTGAGCAAACACCACTGACACTGATCTTGACTTTGGAAAACAATATTCATTTTTTATAGAGCAATAGTAATAACTGTAAATGGTAGAAAGTTACTCGCACTCCAAAAACTTTTGCAGTCAATATTGACCATCAAAGTGTCACACTGCTTAGCGACGTTACGAGACCATGTGGTCCCTTCTTCAGGCAAACAAAAGTGACACTTTGCGATGCGAAAAAAATGCTGCAAGCACTATTTTTGCAGATCGCACTGGACTGGAACACAAGTACTAATGTGCGGATGGGGGGCATGGCTGCGCTGCCATTGACTTCAATGCACTGCCACGCCACCTCCCGCCCCTGAATGCAGGGAGCCAGCCTGCTTGCTGTCCAGTGCGTTCCAGGGACCGAACGCTCTGTAATGCAGACTCTGTGGTGGGAACCGGCTCTTAGGTAGACTGCTCAGGGATTGGTCAGGGTCAGATGCATATTCATAATCTGGCAATTGATCTTCCCACACTGTATGCTGGAGCCCATCCCAGCAATAGGAAAACAATCTACCAGGTTTAGGGAAAATCCTGCAGAACACAAAATAATCAACCTCCAGACTGACTACAGTCTAGAAATAAACACACTAAATTTAATAGTGACACAGCTATTAGGGGGTTATTCACTAGATCCAAAGGATTTAGCCGAACCTTTGCCAGATTATGACGGTCGGTGGAATCAAGATTGAAATCTCCACACGGATCAGAGAAGCCCGATGCGCTTTTGCAGGCCTCAATAACACATGACATTTGAACCAGATTAGTCTTCGTACAAAGATTTGAACTTTTAACTTTAGTGTGAAATCTGTGCTGCTTTATGCGAGTGAGACATGCAGAGTCTCAGTGAAAACCACACAAAAACTCCAGGTTTTTGTAAACCATTGCCTGTGATACATTATCCATGCCTGGTGGCCACAAAGTTGGATCACTTATGCAGAGCTTCTACGGCGGTGTCACCAAGGACCAGTTGCAACAGAGATCCTAGAGCGTAAATGGAGAGTGATTGGACATACCATACGAAAGGGTGCAAATGAAATCTGTAGACAGTAGGTCGATTGGAATCCCAAATGACAGCGCAGGAGAGGCAGACCCAAGGGCTCCTGGCAGCAAAGCCTATATGATGATATCAAGGCTGTTGAATCAGATCAGATGACATTAATTATTAAACGGGCTAGCTAGCCTGTTTAGGTTACTGAACTTTGTACAATATCATTGTTCCCAGCACTGCCCCATGTAATTAACCATTAGGTCGCTGGGATGCCTTTTTCCGTTGCAAAGATTTTTCTTCGGAGGCTTAGAACAACTCAGACACATATTGTGTTTGTGAGGATGGGTGGGCATCTGGGCATTAAGAAAGCTTTAAGAGGATATGTGACAATCACAGTAGCTAAGGTGTGAAAGTGTAAACTACTTGATATACTTCTTATAATCACCATCAAGACCAGACAACAGTTGGCTCTTGGGAATAAAAGCTTGTTGCCAAAATAGGCTGAAAGCTCACGTAGATTTGGCAAATCCTCATAATATGAAATATACTTATTTTACACAAAACCTTCCATTATTCCCTGCTCGAAAAAAAACTAGGGCTGAAAAAACTAATCGACAAAGTCGATAACAATTGATAATGGAAATCAATGTCACCGTTTTTCATTATCGATTAGTTGGTCGCTTGATTAGTTGGTCTGCTTGCACCCTCACTCCCTCCCCCTCCCCTTCTCTCGCGCCCTTGTGTACACTGTCTGACTGTTCAGGCACTGTCTGAGGATCCGCGGCCTCCTCCTCCTCCCCTGGATGATCGTAGTGGACTGAGGGGATGAATAGAGCCGCCCCGGTGAGCACGGACTGACCGTTCGGGGACCGTTCCGGTTCGGCACCCACGGCCTCCCCCGTGTCTCAGCCTTCTCCTCCTGCTCCCCTCCTCCTCCCGAGCTGCTCATAGTGGACTGTGGATTTGCTGAATAGAGATGCACAACCAGTGTAAGTAGTGTGTACTATGTGTCGTATGTGTTGTATGTATACTATGTGTTGTATGTGTGCTGTGTGTATACTATGTGTTGTATATGTACTATGTGTGCTGTGTGTGTATTATGTGTTATATGTGTGCTGTGTGCGTACAATGTGTTGTATGTGTGCTGTGCGTGTACTATGTGCTGTATATGTACTATGTGTGCTGTGCATGTAGTATATGTGCCATGTGTGTATTATGTGTTGCATGTGTACCGTGTGTGCAGTGAGTGGAGTCTGTGGTATAACAACTGGGCAGGGGTTGGGAAGGAAGACAGTTGCTCTGGGCACAACTATGGAGAGGCACCGGCCTGGCAGCGAACACATTTACGGCCAGTTCACACCATCTCTAGTGCGTTCCAGCATGGTTAGAGGCTGAAATGCACTGGATCGCATAGTGGAAGCCTTCCTGCATTCTGGGGCGGGATGGGGTGTGGCAGTGCCATTCACTATTTTTGGCGATTGCATGCGCGATCGGAACGCGGGCATTGCTGTGCCACACATTCTGGTGCGGGGAATCACACTGCGGCGGGTGGGAGTGTGTGTCTGTGGTGCCATTGACTCCAATGGCTCCGAGACGCCCCCTCCTGCCCCAGAATGCAAGGAGGCTTCCACTATGCGATCCAGTGTATTCCAGCCACTAACTGTACCGGAACTCACTGGAGATGGTTTGAACTGGCCCTAAACTGTGAAGCCCGTGACACACTGCACATGGAATGCAGGTGCTCGCAGTTACCGCGGTTGGCTCTGCCTGTAGTAATTATTGTGAATGGATGTCACCAGCACACCAAATATTTGCGTAGGGTCATTACTGAGCCTGATGAAGGGGACCCTGCGTGGTCCAGATAGCGCTTGTCTGATTGACATGTTTGTTCAATAAATGGACACTTGGTTATTCTGAACGAATATTTGTTGTGCTGGTGATATCCATTCACAATAAACACTGCACATGGAGCCGCATGTAGCAAAGGAAAGAGGTGGTGTGTGTAGCTTTGCGTACAGTCTGTCTGGCAATATCCTCTCCTGTGGTCAGATAGGCGAGAGCTGAGCGTGGCGCGAAATGTAGTAGGCGAGAAATGTAGGAGATGAAAAATGTAGTCTCTAGCCAATCAGCTTACAATCCGCGCATTAGAACGCAGATTCAAGCGTGCAGCCAATCAGCTTTCCCCAGAAAAGGTGTCTGGTGAGAGCAGTCCAGGAGAGAAGTCTGCTTGGTAATGTTTTCCTTCTTGCACAAGTGCTTTCTGTGACATCTGTGCCAGGGATGAGAGCTATGCAGAAAGAATTAATATGATACCCCCCTTAAATAATTAATTAAATCATGAATAATAATGAAATAATACAATGATTCAATACTATTTATTAATGAATAATTAACTAAATAATTAATAATAATAAATAATTAATTGAAAATGTCAATACTTTTTGTACCTGATTAATCGAAAAAATAATTGGTCAACTAATCGATTATGAAAATCAGCCCTAAAAATCCCTACATAATACTGAATGTTTCAGATATACACAGGTTAACCATTGCTGGTGGTAGTTTACATCTGTGTGACATACCCAAAGAGCTCCTGTACGGTATTTGTTTTTTTTATGCATCAAAAAGCGTTAAAGGTCAAATTGAGGACAAGCAGCTCATAAAGCAGCTCATAAAAACTAATTTAACGCAAGTTGATAATGCATGCAAAAATACATGAAAACATGCATGGAAAGGTGTGGATCCCACACAAGAGAGTCCAAGCGCAGAGACATTAATATACAAAGTCACAACTTCAGCAAAGCCTGAATACAGCTGTCAAAAGGTACATAAGCAGTGATGGATGAACCTTAATTTGACATCAACAAGGCTTTAAATATTTAAAACATTATTTAAAAAAAAAAGAATAAATAATGAATCTGCGTATTCTAAACATTACACTTCTTCCTATTATAACAATGAAATGTAATACCCACTGAAGAACAATAGTGCAGGTTCACATTGTATAACCACACGCCCATGACACAAACTGTCATCTTAGTATGATCACTTGAGGTTATTCTGCCATGATAAAATTACATTTATTTCTAAAATATTGTTCTACATGTTGTACGATGCAAATGGAGAGATTTCCAGAAACTCAGGCCACTCAAAAACGTATACTTTAGGGCTCTTACCCACTTTTATTCATCCAAATGTCAAATGAACACTGCATTCTGCCCAAACAGGAGTTGTTTAGCATACCAACGATCACCAATGTCTTTCAGCCTCCTGGTTATTTTGCCACATAGCTCTGTTTATTTAATCTTTAAGAAAAAACTGCCTTAAGGTGGCCATAATCTGTGCGTATGTTGGCCTGCATGGCAGAGACCTTTTTCCTATGCTTTTTTACTTCGGAAATACTTCTGTTGGCCCAGCTACCCGAACAGAATTGAAAGGGGAATTCCCCAGTATGTAACTACTAAATTCTACATATGCCTGCCACCACACTTGCATAATTCCCAAAGGACACTGGAAAGGCGTCTTTATGAGTACGTTTACAAAAACGATGTCTGAGTATTTCAATTTAGGTCACACAAGTCATATTATAATCAGGGCATTTACAGGATGTTAAGGGGACTTCTAATTATTAACATCATTCTTACCCCTTAGCTTGATACAATATAGCAAGTGTACAAGTGAACACAATGTCATTACCAAATCTGCTAGGTAGAGTCTTATGGCCCTATAAAGGCTGGGAAGCTGATCAGGGTTTTACAGAGAACTGATGAAGTAACTATTTTTTTTTTCTCCACCCATAAAGAAAAAAAACATCATTCTTTAAACTCTTCCAGCTTTATGGCCTTTATGGAGTCTCACAGTTGCATTCCCAAAAAGATACTTCAAGGACACTCATCATATAACTCTCTTTAATGTAATAATAAAAGCGACAAACGTTAAAAACATTCAGAACCTGTCCAGACAGTTTTTTTTATGTTTTTAACGTTTGTCACTTTTGAAAAATATTAAAGAGAGCATGGTGCATGTATGCTTGAGCATCTTTTTTGGAGTACATTGAAAACAAGGATTGAAACAAGTGAGCACAAAGATCCACACTGCATTCTGTTGCGTAATGACACAGTAAGATCTCCTGGGGTAACCTCACTTAGCACTAGTTTGTGCCTCCCTCCAAAGTGGCAACAGTGGTTACTGCATTTATATTGTCTTTCTTGCAGTAGCATAACTCTACATGTGCCAACCGATCTTTTTACATCTGAGACAAACATACTTACAAGGCTTGCTGTAATTTACTTTCCTTCCAGTATCGGAGTAGAGCTCCACCCCTCAACCAATCAGGTCCCACGGCATCAACTGATCTCTTCCTCTTTAAGGCGCGAGGTTCAAACAGCCGGCGTCTGTATAATTTGTAAGATGTTGGATCCCTGTCTCACACAGCCGCCTCTCTCCTTTCCTTCTTGAGAACGAGTCTCACCTCATCTCTCTCCTCCTCTGTGACAAGCCAATATTCAAGTGAATCTCGGCACAATCTAGTCCACTGCTGCTGATTGTGTGTGTTCTCAGCACTCTCATCTCTGCAACCAATTGTGAGCTCTTTGAGTGATCCATTATGCAATCTTATTCTTGGGATGCTTTCAAAACCGACACTTTCAATTTAATTTGGCTTTGAAATATTTATGTTTTTAAAGAAGAACTATGGGGTCAGGGCTTTTCCCCATAGTTCTCCTTAGGGTAACGGGAGAACACAAACTAGGGTCCTCCCGTTACCCTAAGCTCAGTATGCCACGAGCTACAGCTCGCGGTATACTGAGACGCTGGAGCGGATCCCGACTTAGACGACGCAATCCGCCCAGCTGCGTGAGTGACAGCTGGCTCTGCCTATCTAGAGGCAGAGCCAGCTGTACCCGCCCCCTCCCCCGTCCGTTCCGCCAGTCATCGCTGGCGGATCGGAGCGGGAGGGGGGAATCCAGCCCCTCCCCTGTCACGGCAGAGAGCCGTGACAGGATCGAGAGGTGAGCGAACGCCGGTATCTGTTCGCTCACCCCCCGATCTACTGAGCCGACCTGTGACAGTCTCATTGGCACAGGTCGGCTAGAACTATGAGGTGAGTGGAAATCACTCATCTCATAGTTCTCCTTTAAGCAGGTATGGGCTGTTTTTATTGGGATCCAATTCCTTTTTGTCCTTTGATACTAGCAATGGGAGGGAAAGATGGTCAGACCTTTCCTTCGCACATTTTTAAAGGGCTTACTACTCCCAGATCTCCCCTTTAGTTTTGCCTAACAGAGCTTGATGCAATTTCTTCAGCCTTTGAACCAAGAGGCTCACAGGGTTTTTCACAAAAGGGTGAAGAGTTTGGAGAAGGCAGGAGAAGTGAACAAGCTAGGACAACATAGATGAACTGGAAAGTGAGCTGAATTGGAGAATTTTTCCAGCTATTTTGGCCAAAATTGTTCACTTCTCCTGTCTTCTCCAAACCCTTTTGTGAATAACCCTGTCATTTTAAGAAAATGTGTCATCTGTACCACTTGCCACAGATGCAGTGGGCCTGGTATCTGAGGCTAGGGCTGCGAGGTAAAGCCCTAAAAAAAAATGACAACTAAAATGCTATAATTATGAAGTAACAGTTGACCTCAAAGGTCTTACTGCAAGAAATTGTGCTCATTACAGAAAGGACCTGCAGACATTTATATGGGTGTGATAAGCCTCCTACACACCACATTTCGGCAGTGAACTAAAGGACTGAAAAAGATTACTATGTGTCCCTTGAGGATCTGATCATTTAGGATCACCTCCTACACATCAGTCAAGCAGTTTGTGAAGGAGCATACGTCTGAGTCTGCCAAAGTGCCAGCAGACATATCAGATACTTACGTAAACACTCGGGTGTGTGACCACTGCAGGGCTCCACTTAGTGGCTGGAGAGAAGGGAAATCACCAACAGCAACCGTTGCAACACCTGGGAGCCA